AAAGTCTCAATATACGGCAACGCGTAATTTTTGAGAAAAGAATAATTGAAAATCAATTATTCTTGCAATGTTTATGTCTAATCTGCTAATAAACTGGCGCCATTTTGTAATGTCATTGTCGACGTCAATAGGGATGTCGATTCTTTCCGAAAAAGGTCGATTTTTAAATCGATTCAAATCGTAAGCTGAAGTATCGATTCCCAAAAAATCGATTTCTAAAATATCGATATTTTTTTCACGTTTGCATTTATAATGTAATAACATTGCAAGAATAATTGATTTTCAATTATTCTTTTCTCAAAAATTACGCGTTTCCGTATATTGAGACTTTGTGTGTGTGCTTATAATAGTGTAATCTTTCTGTAAAAATACGTTTCAACACCAAACTCCACTGACGTCAATGGAAAGCTAAGCCCTTCTATGTACTAGTATTACTTGTGGTTTCATTTATTGCATATATGTGGATTCCTTACTGTATAAGGTACGTTGGGGTAATACCGGACGGATTTTCGAATAGTTGGAAGAGTCTGCCAAAAACTTTAATTTCTCGACATTCGTATACGTCAGATTTATGGAACATGGAGCAAACCGTTAATCGTTAAACGTAGTTTAGCTCTGAGAATCGTTTGCTTGTGTAAACTCAACGGTTTCTGCTTTAAAGGTGTGCGAAAACTAGACATACTTTTTTATATGCATAATGAAAAATTGGCCATTAAGGGGTAAGACCGGACTTAAATTTAAAACCACTTCTACTGCTTAGAGAAAAAAGTTTATAAAAGAGATTTGTCCTATCTTTAACGCTCAAAAACATATTTCAATATGATCTATAAATTACTAGAAACATAAATGTTCCAAACGATTTTCTCTTTTTTTGTTTCTTGCCATCCGATCTTATCCCTGATATAAAGAAATTGTAATTTTATGTTTCTCAAACTTTGTTATGACATAAGATGGAATTACTCAATATAAGAGAAAGATCGGATGCATTTGATTTTATATGGGAAAAAAAATAACAGTAAGGACTGGCGAAATGCCCTGGGATAATGCAGGAGTTAAGGAAGATATAAATATTTTAACAAAGCGGCATTTATAATCATAAATTATTTTTTAAATAATTATTATAAATTACATTTTGATTTGTAATAGAGGATAGATATAGATGTCTATGGGCCGCAGCAATCACTTAACATCAGGTGGACTGTGTGCTCCTTTGTCACCCTTATCCTATAAAAAAAATGTATTTTAATGTGTACTTAAAAGTAATAAAACCATCGTATTGTTTTATTACTTTTAAATATACAGACTTGCTAACGAGACTGAGTCCCATAGTCACTTGAGTAATCAACGAAAAAATATACACGACCAATGAAAGTTTAACAACCACTGCCATATTTGTAACAGGCAAAGATCGGATAATATTCATCCGATCTTCACTCACGAGGGGAAACATCGGATCTCGGCCTACAGCGATCTTAGCCCTGCATGGACCAGCTTTATTTAGCTACTAGCTGTTCCCCGCGACTTCGTTCGCGTGTTAGGGTTTTTATGTTTCTGCGCGGAACCCTGATTCTTTTTCTAAAATAAAAGTAGCCTATGTTACTCCTTATGAAATCAGCTATCTGCCAGTGAAAGTCCCGTCAAAATCGGTCCAGCCGTTTCGGAGATTACCCGGAACAAACAGACAGACAGACAGACAGACAAAAATTTTAAAAATTGTATTTTAGTTATAGGTATCGTATTTACTTTCATATGCATTTAGTAAAAAACTGTAATTTTGACATTACAAACAGACACTTCAATTTTATTTATTTGTATAGATAACTTCATAAAAATTAGTATCCACACAAAATAATAACAAAAGAAGCCATATTCTCGCTAAAAATCGTAAATAAAAGTGATAGGGAAAGATCGGATGGACAAAAATAATACAAAAATTACATTGTTTTATAAAATGCCACGCAGCACAGGTCCCATTTGCCGGAGTGACTGGCGCGAACTGAGGGTCGGGGCAGGATGAAATGGCGTCGTGTAGCATATTGTTAGCTTTTCAAAATATAGCATAATTCGCCGGAAATTTGAATCCTACGGTCTTGCCCCATCACCGATCTTACCCCAACGTACCTTATTAAATATACTAACATAGATAAATAAATAGTACATAAATAAATAAAAGCCCAACCAGATGGAAGCCTTCGGCATGGGAGACCAAATGGCCGAGGGTTAGGGGGAAAGGGAAAGAAACCGGCGGACGATGCGAGCGATATCGAGGAGCACCGCCTTCTGCATTTGAGCCCGGAGCGGTGCGTCACGGGGTCCCAGTCGCCTCAGATGACTCGAGAGACTGATCGGGATTAGCCCGTTCGCAAAAACGACTACATGTATAATTTCATTCGGTAGGTTCGTAGTTTTCGTTTATCTGTTTCGACTTTCACGAGGTTCTCGTCATACAGAATGATAATGTCGACCAAAAATATCCTTGACTGTGCCCGGTCCATCAGCACAATATCAGACTTATTCGCAAGATTAGTCCTGTCCATGATGATGGCCCGGTGCCAGTAGAGCCTGGCGCGATCATGTTCGAACACGGCTTCCGGCAAGTACTTGTAATGAATAGCTACAAGCTAGATGACAAAGGATTGTGCTCCACTGTCCCATACACTGTTCGAGGAAGTATCTAAGGCTCAATCTACATTGCCGCGGAACGGAATGGAAGCGAATTTTTTAACGAACTTGTACATAGTAAAATGAATTTTATGTTAATTGTGTAACTTGCAAAGTAGATAATATGAGCCACAAAAGAAATCGCGCGTCTTCCGTGGAATTCTCGCGCATTCTCGAGAATTCGGCAGCTACTGTCTGCGCAATCTGTGGAATCCGCGGGAAGTGGCGTTTTCATTTCTTCCAAAAATCATGAACCCAAATATTTCTATTCCTTTTTGTGATATTCTTCCCTTTCTCATCATTTTCTTCAACTACCCCACAAATAAGCAACATGAAAATAATACCCGATCAACCATTCTTGTCAATTAAAACATCTAGACTAAATAACTGAATGGTGCATGTTGGCCTTCCCGCGCGACGAGGCGAAATTGACGCTTCCCTTCTATTCCATTCCGCCGCAATGTAAATTGAGCCTAACTGTACAGTCAACCTTGTACAGCTCGAGGACCAAGTGCGGAAATAAGTGAGCAGGTTGTGTCAACGTCGTGGGCCTATAATGGAATTTAATTTCATGTAACTTCGCCACGCTGCCCTAATTCCCTAATGCGTGTTGACGATCTTCACATGTCTTTAAAATGTATTTTTTTCTTATTTCTCAGACATGCAGGTTTATTTTTGGTGGCGGCGTGAATCGAACCGAGTTGCAAGCGTACTGTGAAATGTACAGTGCACGCTTAGACCCGGAGTAACCAGGGCTCTTTTCTGTCAGAAATGAGAGCAGGCTTGTGCTAGGCTCTAAAGATAAATTTTAACTTTTGATTTTTTTATAAAACCGAAGTGGCAAACGAATTTGCAATCCAGTTGATGTATGGCTACTGCTGGTCATGGCCACCTGCAGCCAATTTCAAGCAAAGAAGGCTACAGGTGCGTTGTCACATGTGAGGACTAAGATGTAACGCCTCACAGCCTGTGATAATACCGGCTCTCGGGGACACAACAGTGCAAGTACTGCTATTTTGCCGTTGAAACAGCTGAGAGAGTTATATCTACCCAAACCATTCTTTGCCGTAAGTACCTGTCGATCCAATACCGGTAAACGTTCACCGATTCGACGTATGGTTGCCACATACTTATAATGAGACCTTCGAGCATATAGATATTTTCACATGCTCAACGGAAAGGTTTCGTGGTATTTTATACAAGACACTTTTCAAATAATAATTTGCCACCTCAGCCACATTATAATACCATTGCTGACCATACTTTGACACTTATATATCTAATACGTTTTGTACAGCTGCAGGTCTCCTAGCGTCTTAATTATCTATCTCAAGAGGTAATCTGTGAACAGCACTGTGGGCTGCATTAATGCGCATGTTAATGTTACTGTACTACCTGTGTTTAATATATATAATGTAGCTGTTAGCTGTTCCACTTTGAATAAATAAATAAATAAATAAACCATCTAGTAATACACAAATCTATACAAATAAATAAAATTCAAGTGTCTGTTTGTAATGTCTACATAACAGTTTTTTTTACTAAATGCGGTAATATACGGTACTTATAACAAAAATACAATTTTTAAAGTTTTTGTCGGTATGTTTGTTCCGGTTAATATCCGAAATGGCTGGACCGATTTTGACGGGACTTTCACTGTCAGACAGCTGATGTTATGAGGAAGTGACTTGCTCTATTTTTATTTAACAAAAAAAATCAGGATTCCGAGAAACCATATTAAAATCCATGAAATCTAAACGTAATAATTCCCACGCGGAAGAAGTTGCGGGGAACAGCTAGTAAAAAACTAGTAATATTAAAAACTAGCTGTTCCCCGCGACTTCATTTGCATAGAATTTATTACAATTGTGTTTTGTGGGTTTTAATTTTTTTTCGTGCCGAAGCCTAATTTCTTTTCTAATATAAAGGTAGGCTAAGTTATTCTTTATAACATAAACTGAAACCAGTGAAAGTCCCGTCGAAATCGGTTCAGCCATTTTGAAGATTAGCCGGAACAAACAGACAGACAGACAGACAAACAAAAATTTTAAAAATCGTATTTTTGTTATAAGTACCGCATGTATACTTTCATATGCATTTAGTAAAAAGCTGTTATTTAGACATTACAAAGAGACACTTCAATTTTATTTGTTTGTATAGACAAACGAAAAAGAACATGAGAGTGTTACCTATACAAGTTACACATATACCGTAGTACTAATTATTCTGTTCTTATACTAATTATTAAGCTCACGCGCGTAGTCAACTCATCAAGTGGACTGTGTTCTCGTTTGTCAAGTTTATTCATTAAAAAAAAGGAGAGAAAGGATCATACTTACGTCATCACAGTGTTCGCACGGGTACAGCTTAAGCCCGTGCGAAGCTACGTGGGTTTTGAACTTGTCTACGCTCAAAAAGCCAACCCCACAAGCGTCGCATATCAACTGCGGGGCGTCAATTTCCGATTGCTCGCATTTGGCTCTTTTGGGCTCCCGAGGCTCATAATACGGACAGGCTGAAAAGATTTTGTCTTCCAAGATGGGATATTTAGCACACAAAAAGATCAGAGAGTCTTACTACTAGAAGGATTATAGGACAACTGTGTAGTGGCGGTGTAAGAATATCTACCGCCTAGTATATTAAAGTTGGAGAAATTAACTTTAGCTATATCCGTTCAATAAAATAAAATGATGTGTCTTACCTAGTTGAAGATTTTTTTAATAACTGGCTTTACGGCTTTGGGTTCTAGCCCTTTTGAGCCTTCTAGTTTGAAGAGCACCTCCCGCCCTCCCTCAATTGCGTGCACTATCACCGTCACCACTAAACCCACCACCACTACACTAGGCAAGACACACCACCGCCGATAATACGACACGTGTTTCGCGTCTACACGAGGCATCCTCAGGTGTAGTAGACTCTGCGGTGGCTGATCGCTAAGATCGATTGACTTCGCTGAACTAGGTAAAACATATCATTTTATTTTATTGAGCCGCAGATGTATTAAGGGTGACAGAGGGAAAAACCAGGAGGTGGGCAGCAGCGTCTTCCCAATAATACCTAAAAAATAAAATTCGGTAGTTGCCAAATATTCCTCCGTATGAGACAATCTATGAGGTGGCCCTATGTTTAGCGGTGTACTTGAAAGGCTGTAAAGGTGGATTTTGGGAAGAAAAGTTACAGAAAACATATATCACTTACTCCCATGTCCGACGTGCGTCTTGTAGAACGTCACGAGAACTTTATCCAGTGTCTCGGTGACTATCATGTGTGCTGGACAGGCTTTGCCAGTTTTATATATTTGGCGTTCTGGAGTCGGCCGCTTACCTTTACCCTAATGGAAACGTATTGAACCAATTTTTATATTATAAGATTAAAGTCGTAAGCGAAATAACAATCAGCTCAACCGGGGAAGTACGACGCTCTCAGAATATCAGCGTAAAATAGCAGCTCAATGCTGCTGTGTATCGTATGGTGAGTGTATAGAATGGAGACCCTTTTTACTGGAAACGAGGCATTTCATCTTAGTCCTCAAGGGTGACAACGCATCAGCATTTTGATTCTTATTTGAGGATAGATGGATGTTTTTCTACCGACTTAAAAAAGGAGCTGGTACTCGATTCGACTTTATGTTTTTTTATGTGTGTTACCTCATAACTTTTTACTGGGTGAACCGATTTCGATGAATCTTTTATTTTGAAAGCTGTTGCTTCACATGTGGCCCTCAACTAACTATTGAACAAGGTCTGACCAATAGTTTTTGAGTCATTCTTAATAATTTATATTGAAGTCGGTTGTACAAAATTTTTAATTTTAAATTATTTTAAAAATAGAATAAGGTTGACATACGAGCACACAGCCCATAGACATCTACATTTATCCTTGCTTAAGAATCGAAATGCAGGTGCGTGAGGGGTGATATGACACCCGAGGACTAAAATGCCACAGCCAAAGCTTCCATTTACTATCAGGTGGACTGTTTGCATGTTTGTGACCAATATTATATATTAAAAAAAGCTTGATGATAACTGGCTATTGCAGCTAGTCACTTTCTCGTTATTAACGCGACTGTCAGAAAATCAGTAATTTGGGTATGGGGGATTTTTTCTGATTTTTTCCCAACGAACAGTCTTTAGACGAACATGGACAAAACAAAGATCACGAGTTAGGTCAATGTCACACCTATGCCGGTAGTTGTTGGGAGCACTAAGGTCGAAGTTGTTGATGAATATGTTTACCTGGGACAAATAGTCCGACTAGGTAAGTCCAACTTCGACCGGGAGGTCCATCGACGGATTCAACTCGGCTGTATACCTCAAAAAACTTGAAAACGAGATTTACAACCAGTGCGTGTTGCCAGTGACGACCTATGGAACTGAGACGTGGTCCTTCACTGCTGGCCGTATGAGGAACCGCAAGGTTGCTCAGCGAGCTATGGAGAGGACTATGCTCGGGGTTTCTCTGCGTGATAAACTTAGAAATGAGGATATCCGCAGTAAAACCAGAGCAATCGATATAGCCCAACGGATTAGTAAGCTGAAGTGGCAATGGACCGGCCATATAGCTCGAAGAACCGACAACCGATGGGGAAGAAAGGTTCTCGAGTGGCAGCCTCGTACCGGTAGGCGAAGTGTAGGGCGTCCCCCCACTAGATTGAGTGACGATCTGGCAAGACATGCAGGAAGTCGATGGATGCAGGTGGCTCAGGATCGTGTTTTGTGGCATTCCTTGAGGGAGGCCTATGTTCTATAAATGAATATATAGTTTAAACACACACACACACACACACACACGCGCGCACACGCACGCACACACGCACGCACACAGGCACGCACGCACACACACACACACACACACACACACACACACACATATATATATAGGTCAAATCATATTGCGTACGCTTCCCGGGCTTCCTGTTACACACTTCTGTCCCTTTTCGCGAAATCACTACCACAGAACGTGGGAAAGCGAGAGGAAAGATGTTACACATCAAAAAATGTACAAATTACAAAATTCTGGCTAACCTGGTAAACATATATCCCCGATTGACTGCACATGTAATGCGATCGAACCCCTTCGATAGTCTGCTTGCTGGCCGTCGTCTTCCGGAACCGGAACTTAGTTTCTTCTTGTATAGCGCTTTTGAACAGCATAAAATCTGAAATGTTGGGAGATAATGGAGTGGTTCTACGAGTTAAATATTTCGACTTATTTCATCTCTTTTACCGGCCTGTAAAAGTTTGAACATTTGTACAAAGTTTGACTGTGTAGTGGCGGTGACGTCATATAGTCCTGTAAGTGTTGTGAGAGGTGTCAGAGAGAGACATTAAGGTGATGGGCTGCAGCGTCTTCCTAATAATTGGTGGCAATAATGGCAAACATCCCCTTATATGGAAATCTATGGGGAGGCCTATGTTCAGCAGTGGGTTAGGTAAGCTGTAATGACTAATCGAATGAATGAAAAGTTTGCCTCTCGAGCTTAGGAGGATTTTTTAATAGAATAAGTGACAAACGATACAGTACATACAATCCACCTTTTTTTTATAGGAGAGGGGGCAAACGAGCATGCGGCTCACCTGATGGTAAGTGATTACCGCCATCCATGCAAAACTAGAACACCAGGGAGGGAATTGCAGATGCGTTGCCAGCCTTTTAAAAAGGAGTAGGCTCTTTTCTTGAAGATCCCTAAGTAGTACCTGTAGTAGTACCTGATGGTAAGTGTATGCTGTGGCCCATAGATATCAAAATCTATCCTTCAATAATAATCAAAATGTGACCAATTCAATGTCACCCTTGAGGACTGAGATAGAATGCCTCTTCTCCAGTAAAAAGGGTCTCCGGTTCTCTACATCTACACTAACTATCAGAAACACAGCTGCATTAAACTGGTATTTCTGATAAAGCATTTTGTTTTTTATTTAATGTGCCTAGATTATAAATAGTACTTAGTGAAAGTCAATCTTATGTTTAACTACCACTGCTTCGGAAAAATCCTCTGTGCTGGGAAGAACCAGCAAGAACCCCAGCGGGACTTTCAAAAAAAATAACAACTTACAATCATGTATACTACACAATTACGAGGGCGGCACTGAAAATTTCGGGAATCAAGGAAGTGACACAACATTACTATTTATAAATGTATTTATTGCTTTTCGAAGTATTCTCCGCGAAATTTGACACATTTTTCCATACGATGGAACCAATCATGGAAGCAAGCATTCCATTCGGAAGTTGGGGTCTCCAAAATGGCCGTTTTGTAGGCGTCCACAGCTTCTTCAGGTGATGAAAATCTCTGTCCACGCAATTTATTCTTCATTTTAGGGAAAGTATAGAAATCATTAGCGCTTAGGTCGGGGCTGTACGGCGGATGGTCTAATAATTCTATGTTTTCTTACTCTAAAAACTCTTTTGTTCTGTGTGCGGTGTGAGAACTCGCATTGTCGTGATGGAGGATGCGGCGGTTGCAGTTCTCTTTACGGAGTTTAGAAACGACCTGTGGCAAGCAAATGCTAGTATACCATTCTGCATTAACCGTTCTTTGTCCCTCAAGAGGAATAGTCGTAACATGGCCGGTTTTGGAGACAAACGTGGCCACCATTTTTTTTGCAACACTCCGTGAACGAACAATTTTTGTTGGTTTTAACTCATTTTCGAACACCCAAACTCGTGATTGGTTTTTTGTTTCGGGTTCGTACGCGTATATCCAGGATTCGTCATCTGATACGATGTTGTATACAGCATTTGAGGATCCTGCGTGGAATCTTTCGAGAGTTCTGTTACGGATCTAGTTTCTACATATTAAAAGGTTTCAAACTTTGTTTTCAAACATCTTTAGGCTGAGGATCCTGCCCCCCGCCTCAGCACTATAAATATAAAACGTCGTGGCGCGGTGCGCGTAGCCTCATTTGCTCCACGGCCGCGTCACGATAACATGCCCCGTTGATTATTTTACGTGCCTAAGGGCTTAATATACAAGAAAGGTAAGTTGTACTATATAAAGGAATAAGAACAAATACAATTTACATTAACTAATTACAATAATTACTTTACAATTTTACATTAATTAATTTTAAATCTATGCTAACTCTCGCTATTCCTTCGGTGTCTTTATTGGGAGAGTTATTGCATAGTTATAATACTATTCTTTTTAAAATACAAAGATATATTTTTAATATTCTGAATACGGCTTTTTCCGCGTTGCTGGGTACAACCATCGCTAGTTGTTGAACCGTGAGCGCGGCCCGACGATCGTAACACCCTGATAGCTCCGCCCACCGCCCCTAGGTTGTTCAACTAGCGTCGGTTACGACAAGCAATTAGTAAGTATTTCGTTCGACGTATCACTTTGTTTGCGTCGTGCACATTCTCCCGCCGTCGCCACGCTGTGATCCCTTTGGTAGCACGACGATCTTCTTTGTCGGTCTTCTTAGTACATGCCCACTGCCAGTGGTTACGTCCACTACTCTTACCTCTCCGTCGACGCCAGGATATACGTTGCTTATTTTTCCCCTGGGCCAGATGTTGCGTGGTAGATTGGAGTCACAAATGATGACTAGGTCTCCAATCTTCGGTGATACGCCTATGCTGCTGGGCTCTCGCCGGTGTTGGAGCAGGGGCAGGTATTCTTTTACCCATCTTCTCCAAAACACGTCGGCTAGGACTTGAGCTCGTTTCCACTGCTGGCGGGCCGTCACATCGCTCTCGCTGAAGTGTCCCGGCGCAGGTACGTGCGAGTTGAGTCTCCTGGTTCGACTGAGACGTGTGTGAGAGGTCTTGAGTTATCCGTGTTTTCGACCTCGGCGAGCAGGGTCACCAATGTCTCGTCACTGGGATAGCGCTCGTTGAGGGTCACGCGTAGAGCTTCTTTCACGGAGCGAACCATTCGCTCCCATGCACCGCCCATGAACGGTGCTGATGGTGGTATGTACTTCCACACAATTTGGAACTATGCAGATAGTGTGCTTTCTTGAGTGCTTCCACGGTGCCCACTACCTTTGCTATGCGATTTGCGAATATGCATAGCTCCCTGGGATTGTCCGTAACTTTGTTCAGCAGCTTCAGCTTCTCTATTTCCAAGTGGATTAACACTTCTGGTCGTCCGAATCTCCTTTCCAAAGCTTCCATTATCAGGCTGGGATCTGGTTGGCTTATAAGTAAGCAACCTGCGGCTTCTTTTGCTGTCCCTTTTAAGCTTCGGCGTATTCTCGCTATGTTTTCGTTCATCGTGAAATACTTTGAAGATTCTTCGTACGTTGCTTTGAAGCTGAGCCATTCGTTGCTGCTACCATTGAATGTGGGCAGCTCTTGCACATATTTCGGCAGCTCCCTTGTGCTTAGTACTGCTTGTGATAGAGCAGCGGCTAAGGTAGCGACGTCGATTTGTTGCTGCGCCTGTCCATAGTCTTCTTTCTGCGGCGCGGGTTGTGATGCAAACTGCGGAGCGGGTTGCGATATAGGTTTTTCTTGCAACCATGTACTAATGCGCACTGATGCTAAATCGTCTTCTTTTCTTCATTTTTTTTTCAATCATCAAATTTCTTCATCTTCGTCATCGGTTGATCCGACTTCTGCTTGTAGTCGCTGCACGTGTATTTCTTGCAATTCCGTTCTTGCTTGCAACTGAGCCTGCTCGAGCTTGAGTTCGGTTAACAGCTCTTTCGCCTCTAACTCCGCGAGGAGTTTCTTGCGTGAGACTACGGAGCGGCGCGACCTAGTCTCGTCGGGCTTTAATGTGCGCTGCGATCTTCGATCCTTCTCTTGCTGGGTTTCTTTCGTTGCAACCGTTTTATCGGTCGCAGGGGTAGCGGTTGTATCGCTGACCGTTGTGGTTTCGCTCGTGGTGTTTGATGTACCACTAGCGGTTGAGTCGCCCCCGGAGGACTCTTCTGTGGCCCCCTGGGTTATCTGTTCATCCTTGCGACGCTTCGATGATTCTCCGTTGTTACTACGCGTAATCACCATTTTTCTTCAAAATAATATTTTTTCGTTCTTGCGGTTTGCTTCTTTCTTCCGGCAATATCAAGACCGATATTGTCTTTTTCTTCTAGTAATCCGGCTTCTCGAAGGACCATTATTGTTACGGATCGCCGTAACGCCGTTCGAAATATGAATGAAACGCGCTGGTCTTGCTTAAACAGGAGGCAAGCGGCGGTGAGGAGGAACTTGTACTTTTTCTTGCTGTTGCCTTCTTACGGTGTCTGGAGAGCGACTGCCGACCGTACTGGCCGGCCCGTCTTTTATACGATTTGGCCGTTGCTGGCCAGCGGATCCTTGCTTCACCCCCGCGCCTTTATTGGTTTATATTTCTTACGAACTAACAAACATAATTAAATATACAATATTCTTACAACTACTTATTATACTAATATGTACACAACAATTTTTCTACATATTAAAAGGTTTAAACTTTGTTTTCCAAAAACTTTAGGCTGAGGACCCTGCCCCCCGCCTCAGCACTATAAATATAAAACGTCGTGGCGCGGTGCGCGTAGCCTCATTTGCTCCGCGGCCGCGTCACGATAACATGCCCTGTTGATTATTTTACGTGCCTAAGGGCTTAATATACAAGAAAGGTAAGTTGTACTATATAAAGGAATAAGAACAAATACAATTTACATTAACTAATTACAATAATTACTTTACAATTTTACATTAATTACTACATTTTAAATCTATGCTAACTCTCGCTATTCCTTCGGTGTCTTTATTGGGAGAGTTATTGGATAGTTACATTACTATTCCTTTTAAAATACAGTTATATTTTTAATATTCTGAATACGGCTTTTTCCGCGTTGCTGGGTGCAACCATCGCTAGTTGTTGAACCGTGAGCGCAGCCCGACGATCGTAACACCCTCATGGCTCCGCCCACCGCCCCTAGGTTGTTCAACTTGCGTCGGTTACGACAAGCAATTAGTAAGTATTTCGTTCGACGTATCACTTTGCGTCGTGCACAATATTAATACACAATTTGCTCGATTTCGTTGGTAATTTCACTTTTTATACAAAACAATATTCTTTCATCACTTTTTTCTTAAAGTCTTTAAGCCGTCGCGAACATCTCTCCCGCCGTGCAGCGTCGCAAAGATCTCATCGTAGCGGCGCTGCATCCATTTCGGTGAGCAACGTTGCTTCTACTTCGGCAGCGGCACGAGTTTCCT